GGTGAAGGTTTAAAAAGAAAGGTCCTCTTGCGGTCTCTCCTTTGACTCCCTGGCAGGGTGCTGATGCTGGAAGTTTCTGAGAGCAATCTATGGGTGCTGGACAGCATACTTTGGTGCACACAACAGGAACTGACGCAGAGAGATTAAATTCCAGAAACCTAAGGAGACACAATTTGAGACAGCCAGGCTTTGGATTCAGGACAGGAAATATTTCCTTACTTCTCCCCACACTGCCCACATCATTCCCCTAAATCTGATGTGGATCAAGAAGTAGCTTGTGGTTAAAGTGGGTGCTAGCATATAAGAGTCTAGCCATTGTCTCTGATTCTAGATGCGTGATGGAACAGGTGACAGGAAGCAGGTTCGATGACCCCTTCCTGGGTGCCTATGGATTATATCCCTCTCCTAGAGGGGCTGGGAGTGCAGTTCCATAGCAGACCACTTGCCTAGCTAGCTTGCCTGAGGTCCTGCGTTTGATCCACAGCGCTGCAGCACCCACCCCCCATTATAATAAATTAAATATCATGGACCATCTTGCAAATAAGTATGCAGCAAGTTAAAATTTATTTTCCACTACACAAGAAATACATGATTACATCAACGGAGAATCCTACTTTTAAAAATAAACAGTATAAAACTACTGTTACAAGAAAACATTCATTTCATACTAGGAGGTTTGCCTGCAAGGGAGACTCACTTCACATTGTCTATAAAAAGGGACAGCTAATTTTGGCTGAGAGGCCAGATCTGGCTACCACCGATTATTGGAAATAAAGTTTCATTGCAGCACAGCCAGGCTCATTCATTTATGGATTGTCTGGTTGCTGTTGTGCCATGGTGATTGAATTAAACAGATGTGGCAAAGACCTTATGGCTTGTAAAGGCTAAAATATATACAGTACTACCTAGCCTTTACAGAAAAAGGAGCTCCCTGTTTTATAATAATATAAAAATTGGAATAAACCTAAATTCCCTAAAAGAAAATTGATCCAGTTACAGTGTTTCCCTGCAGCAAATGGCATGCAAGTCTCTGTGAGAAAATGCCACTGCAGCAAGGTAGCTGTCAAGCTCAGCTGCCACAACACAACTGCCTGGGAACTTTCTTCAGAATCTCCAACCACAGCCCCAGCCAAGATCAATTAAATTTGACTCTAGGGTGGACCCAGGCATCAATATTTTTAAAGCTTCCCTAGGAGATTCTAAGGCAGAGCCAATAATGTAGATGAATGTTCAATGACAGACAGACAGCCTCTAATACCATAAAGTGAAGAAAAGCAGATTATCTAAGAGTGTGTGCTGTATGACTCCTTTTTGGTAAATTTCTACACAAAAACACACACAGATACCAATAAATGCAGAAGCAGTGACAGTGGTCATCTCTGTTGGGTGAGACTGAGATACTGATTTGTTTGTTTACTGTATTTTGTATGTGTTCTACAATCAGTATTATACCTTGAAACAAGTACAATCAATCATAAAGCAATTAATAGCCTAAAAACCTATTTTTTGCTTTGGGAAAACTATAGGGAAGAGCATGAAGTGAAGAAAGTGACCTTGTGTCGTTGGTGTACACACCGCAGCCCACGGAGCAGGACACAGTCTCGCGCAGCCCCCAGGGCCTGTGAGTAAAGCCGGGGTTACAGCTGCCAAGTGTCAGGGTGCTAAAAGTGATGAGTCTAGCCTGACATGGGCAGGAGTGCACCCCTGGAAGCCCAGCTATTCAGGGGGCTGGGGGTGAGGCGGGAGGACCAAAAGGTAGAGCTCAGCCAGGACAACTCAGTGAGACCTTGTCTCAAAATGAAAATTGAAAGCACTGGGGATGTAGCTTAGTGGCAAAGTGCATGCCCAGCATGAGCTAGGCCCTGGGTTCAAACCCCACTACTGAAAAAAGAAAAACTTAAATGAAAAAAGAAAAAGAAAGGATGAGTCTGTACCCCTCACCCCTTCACAGAATTAAAGGCATAAATGCAGTGTCCAGGTATGCTGCTGTGTAGCACAGTAGGTGTTCAGCTGAGGTGTTTTCTCCATAAGCTGCTCTCAGCATCAGAACCTGTGGCCAGTCAGCTTCTGCTCTGGGTGAAGAAGAAGGACTGGCTTTGCCCAAGCTGGGCCTCCTCCGTAACTGCTGCCCCTGCAATTTCTCCATGCTTCCTTTCAAGATCCTTGCCTCCCATCCACACAACCTGAGTCCACTCTTCCCTCCCCACATTGGGGTCCATCAAAAGAAGGCAAGACTTTAGTCTTCAACATGACAACAGTAGCTGCCATATGGAGACCCTATGGGTGGGCTCGGTACTCTGGCAGGGTCTGTGGTCCTGTTCCCATTCCACAGGGGAGGCTTGCAGAGGTGGAAGGAACTCTTTTGAGGTCACACAGCTGGCAAATGGAAGATGTGACATTGCCTTGTCAGCTACCTCTGTTCCATCTTGTACTTCAATGGGCAGGTGCTCCCCAGGTGATTCTAACATGCAGCTAGGTTGGAGAACCAGTGTTATCAAAGCAACAAACCTCAGCACTGCCCTTGCCTTGGAATCACCAGGAAAGATGGTACAAATGCTGGGGAGCCACTGCGAGTGGAAGAATGGGAAGCGTAGGAAGAGAGGAAGAGAGAGGAAAAGGCAACAGTAACTAGAAAGGGGCATGAAGGGTTTGTGGAGTTCAGGAAATGTCTTACTTCTTGATCCGGCTCCTGAATACTTAGGTGTTATCATTCTTATAAAAATCATTGAGCTGTACATCTGTGATTTGGGTACTTTTCTATATGCAATGCTATTCTGTTATTTAAAAAAAAATTTTAGGGGGGAAACAGGGTCTCACTATGCAGTTCAGGGTGACCTTGAGCTCACTATGTAGCTCAGGGTGGCCTTGAACTTGCAGTGATCCTCCTGCCTCAGCCTCTCAAATGCTGGGATTACAGGTGTGCACCGTCACACCCAGGTAAAAGAAAAATTTTTTTGAGACAATATTTTCTGTTATTGCCCAGGCTGATCTCAAAATCCTGGGTAAGTGAACCTCCTGCTGCAGTCTTTTAAGCAGCTGGGTTTAACAGTTTGAGTATGAAGTAGCTCCCAAAGACTCATGTAGAGATGGCTTCATTCCCAGTGCAGCAATGTTCAGAGCTGGGGCTAGAGAGATGACTGGATCCCAAGGTGCTAACCTCATCACTGGGATTCGGTGGCATTGTTGGAAGGTGGTGGAAATAGGAGGTGGAGCCTCACTGAAGGGAGTGGAGCACAGGGGGCCATGACCTTGGGGACTATATCTGGTCTCTGGCCCCTTCCTGTCTGGCTCTCTCTAGGTGCAGCTGCTGTGAGGCTAGCAGCTTTCCTCCTCCAAACCTTTCAACCCTGAGGTTCTGCTTCCCTTCATGCCCACAGCTATGGAGCCAGCTGATCATGGACCAAAGCTTTTGAAACTGCAAGCCAAAGCAAACCTTTCCTCCTCTCGATTGTTCTTCTCTGGTATTCAGTCACAGCAGTGAAAAGATGGTAACACGCTGGGACTACAGACAATGCTGTACCACACTGAAACTGTTTCCAAGCAATGAAGTAAAGGCAGCTGTCACCAGCCACTTCAGTGCCTCCTGGGAAAAGTCAGGCTTGGCCCTGACTCATCATCCCAAGGATGCTTTGCCCTGCATCAAGCAGCTCTTGGCCTCTGAGAGTGCACTTGTCCTTAACAATGCAGGCCAATCCTGCTAGCTTGCTGTGGACGTTTTCTCCTGGCTGGCGGCTGACAGGCTATGCTCGATAGCACAGGCCACCTGGACCTGTGAGGACCTCACTGGCCTCCTTCCACTTTGGCCTCCCACATGAGCCTGGGCTTTAGTCAGTGCCTACGTCCCCCCAGGTGTGGATCCACAGAGGGTAAAATGGGCAAGAGAAGGCATGGTCGGCCCCAGCCCAGGGTGATTGGTTTCTGCAAAACCCAGAGGAGGAGAGGCCACCTCCTTAGGGTACCTCGCCTGGAGAGTAAACTGCATGATCTCAGGTGTGCTGGTCCCAACCAAGGCAACGGGGAGAAATCGCTGGACAGCCACACCCACTCATGGGCCATCTGAGAGTGTGACCTGCTCCACAGGATGAGTGGCCTGGGGACATCTGGTCCACAACTTGAGCCTGCATCCTGGTCTGCACACACATTAAGGATGCTATCGGGGTTGGGCAGCTTTTGACAGACTCCTTTGAGTGCACCTCTCTGAGTGCAAATGAACAGTGTTCTGGTTTGCTTCATGTCACTGCCCCTCAGTTCCACGTCACTGGCCTTGATCCACCTGCCCTTCAAATACTATTACTGCTGAGGTCTCTACTGTCACCAACCTCACCCACTGAAAATGTTCGATATAATGGGGTGAAGGGATGGGAAACTCTCCTTCCTAGATTATCACATGGGCTTAACTATCTCTTAGAGTAACCTAAGATGCCCACCATCTGCTACCAGTGCCCACCATGACCTCAAGAAAAAAGAAAGACAATTCCACTCAAGTGAGCACCTTATGAGTAATAGGTAAGCACATGGGTTTATGTCAAACCTGGATACGAATCCTTTCTGTGCCTCCTTCCAGCTCTGTGACTGTGGGTGAGCAGCTAGTTCCATGGGAATTCGATGGAGGGGAAATGGTGCCCTGCATCCAGCCCTCAGGCAGCGTCGGCAATGGCTCCTCATGGAAGGCTTTCCTGGCAGCATTACATGGGTGCTTCTCTGCATCACCTCTGCCCCCATGAAACCTCTCCTTTCCATCTCCCTGGCTAGCTCAGCCTGTGATGTTGCAGCATGTGATTCTAGAAATTGCTCTGCTTTATAGTAGTGAATTTCAGGCAAAGAAGGGGGGTCTTCCAAAGGCCCCCTGAGAATTACAACACTCAGGTGTTCCCATTTCCAGTGGCTGATATCAGCCCTTGGGTGCAGCACAGGGTGGCCCATGCCTGTAATCCCACTTGGGAGGCTGAGGCAGGAGGATTGATGCAAGTTTGAGGCCAGCCTGGGCTATATAATGAGTTCAAGGCCAACCTGAACCTCATAATGATATCCTGTCTCAAACCAAAATGAAACCAAAACAAAAACATATCAGCCCTTGGGTAAGAGACCCAGAGCTATGACTACTACCTACACAGGACTCCTTTTTTTTCTTTTTGAGATAGGGTCTCACTATGTAGCCCAGGCTGGCCTCAAATTCATAGCAATCCTCCTGCCTCAGCCTCCTGATTGCTGGGATTACAGGCATGCACCACCACGTCCCGGCTCAGGACATCATTTATAAAAGATCTGGGAGTAAAGGGAAGTGTTCTGGTATTGAGAGCAACATGCGATGGACTCAGAACTGAGACCATGGCCCAAGTCCTAGCTCTACTGAGCATAAAGTAGTGTTTATGCCGGGATCCTAGAGGACAGAATTCTAAGTGATGAAGGATAACCCCTTAACAAGCTCCACTTCCTCTACATGGGCCGCTTTTGCCTCCTAGTGGTCACCAGATAGATTACAAGTAAGTGTCCCAATTTTAACAGGCACTGCGAGTTGGAACTTGGGTTTTTCTGAGATAAGCAACTTCTCCAAACTCCCTCCTCCTGAGCACGTGTCAACACCCCCTCTTCTCTTCAGCCCAAAAGAAGTGACTGAATATGCAGATGCAAGTCCCAGGAACCCAGGAGGTTGGTTTGTTTTCCGCAAGAAAAAGAAGGAGGAACTGAAGATTGCCAGGAAGTGATAAAGCAAGTGTAGTGTAAAGGTCTGCATTGTCTTTGCTCATTCCTTCCTTCCCAGAAAAGACCCTTGTTCACCTGTAAAGGTGACATGGTGATTTGAAGCAAATAAATCCCCCACTACACCCCATTAAACCTCTCCTTTCCATCTTCCTTATAAAGCAACTTCACTGTTGTTAGTTTTGAATAAATCCTTTTTCCTTTTTACCCAAATATATGGCCTCCTTTGGTGTGATCAGAGGGCCAGCAGATGAACCTGAGCATATGAGCCTAAATGGCTGGTAACCGTTTTGGAGACCATGGCAAGACAGAAGATGGGAAAGTGGGAGCAGGTTTCCCCATTTCTCAGTCCACCTGCTGCTGGGATTTTCAACCATGCCTGACCCATAACTCCCTTTCCACAAAATACATTTTGCGTAACTATAGTAATTTTTAAGTTTTTTTTTTTTTTTTAGACATCGTCTTGCTATGCAGTTCCAGAACTTGCTATGTAGCCTTGAACTCACGATGTAGCCCTGGCTGGACTGGAACTCATGGTGATCCTCCTGCCTCAGCCTCCTGAGTGCAGGGAATACAGGCCTGTACCACCATGCCCAGCTCCTTAAATATTAGAAGCACCTTTTTGAGATGTTGATCTGCAATAAACTGCACATATTCATACAATATAATTTGAGAATTTCTACATATGTGTACACCTGAAATCATCATCACAATCAAGACAGTGAACATATCCATCTCTACCCCAACAAAGCTTTCTTGTGCCCCTGGTAAGCCTTCCTCCTGCTCTTTCTTACTTCCCTATTCCCAAGGGACTACTGATCTGGTTTCTATCATTATAGATTGGTTTACACATTCTCATTTTCTATAGATGCAATCACAGTATGGGGTCAACTTTCTGCTATTATAATAAATACTAGCGATAATTCATTTATAAAGAGAAAATCTCATATTGGTTTTGGAGGTGCAATCCATGGTTGATTGCTCCCATTTCTTTTGGGCCTGTTGTGAGTCAGCGCATCTTGGCAGCAGGATGGGGTGGATTTGGCTGAAAAGAAGATAAATAAATTTCATGGAATAGTTTTAATAATTGATGAATTACATGTATGTTTATTTTATTCCTTACTAAGCCTTGTTAACCCTTAAACTCCTCCCGATAGGGTCATCACATCAACAGAGTATATTTGAAATAAAAAATTCAGCCATCTTTGAGGTTTTTGCCAACTTTCTCTCATACAAACACAGCTAGATACATATTTAAAAGTTGCCTCCATTTACAGTGGTATTTGTCAGGGAATGAGGATAGAACCTATAGGACCCCAGCAAGGCTTGGCGCCCCCGCTCGGTCCCCCTGATCCGCACAAGGGAACCAGCCAGGGCTGTGAGAACCCGGGCAGCAAGGAGACCCCTCTCTGTCCCGGGCTCCGCCCACCGCGACCGGAAGGCCCATGGTGAGGACCCCGGCGAGGCTCGGAGCCCCGACTTGATCTCCGTGCTCCGCACAATGCAAGCAGCTCAGCTGCCCGTGGGCCTGCACGGCCTGGCCCCTTGCCGCCCCCCGGTTCCACACTACAGAGGCACAGGGGGTCAAAAAGGCCATCGTCCTGAGCCTCACAATATACAGCAGGGGTGAGCAACAGAAAGAGGGCGTCTCTCAGGCTCCTCAATGAAAACTGAAGCCCAGTGGAAAAGTGAAGAGCTCTGCAAATAAAGCCACAGCAGATCACCGTACTTGGTAAGTTGGAGGGCTCATCACCTCCCATCGGAACCTGGACTATCTTCAGGGGAAGGGCAGCTGGAACCTGCAGTAGAACCTTGCAGAGTTCAACCCTGCAGGAGGACAGGGAGCTCAACTTGGGACTAGCAGCCAGAAATCTGCCTGAGTCTCACAGGTCTGCCACTGGCTTGCTGAGACTCATTGACTTGTATCTGCACAGGGCCGCCCACATTGCCTGCTGTGACAACAGAGACATACCCTGAAGGAGGCCCTTCATTTTTATTTTTTGTTATTTGCAAAAAATGTTTTTCTCTAATTTTTAGTTTTTAATTTTTATTTTTTTCTACTTTTTTCAAACTTTTATTTTGTTCTTCTTTTTAAAAAATGACTTTTCTTTCTCTCTCTCTCACTCGTTCTCTTGCTGTCCCACATTGTTCTTCATCTCCCTTTTTGTTCCTTTCTGGACCTAATTCAGATTTCTTCTTTATTTTTCTTTTCTTCTCTTTTTCCTTCTCTTGATTATCGTTAGGGTTTTTTTCCCTTAAATTCTTTTATTGGTACATTTTAGGTATACAAACATTTACCTTTATCACTGGGAACTTGTACCTTTACATGATGTATCTTGGTTCTTATTTTCCCCCATTCCCTGCCCACCCTTCCCTATTTACAAAGACTTTGTTTCCATTTTTTCCATTTCTCATAATTTTTCCTTTCCCTTCTTTCCCTTCCCCTACCCCTCCTACTTCCCCTACCTCTTTAAACCTTGTCTTCCTATTTTGCATTATCAATTATTCATTTTACTCATTGGTACATTTTAGGTGTACAATATAATGACATTCATCATTGGAAATTTGCACCTTTACATA